GAGCTTCAGATGTTGCTTTCCGGGTTTTCCCCCTTTTGGGGGCTTAAAAACCCAAAATTAACTCGGCTTTTTTCCAATTCTCAGGCAAATTTTTGAAACTTCATCCTTTTCTCAGATGGGCCTAAAAAACCCCTTTTTCACGCTTACCCCAAATTGCACTATTTGTCCATACCTCGCGATTACACTAAGCCCGTCATGTCGACTACAGGGAATGAACGGGCAGACACGCGCGCGGTCAGCTCATGACCCCCAAAATTTCCTATCGAGGTTTCCTTTTCGGGTATTTTGCTGGCAATGCTACCCACCTTCGCACCCTTGGCAACAACTTGCAACCTCGCGGTAACAAACTTCTTCTATTAAAACCGAGCATAGGTTTACGGGCCGTCTTCTTGTCATCAGTGCCGGGGTTTGGGGAACCACTCCTCCCGCCTTCGCTTTGGGGCCAAAACTCGTTTTACTCATGGGTTTTCAGGAGAGGCACCCTTTTCCTCTCTGTAGCAGTGTCAATTCCAGAAAACGATTAGCCAATTCTTAGACGCCCCTTTTCATCACGGCAGCAGAATTTCCCTCCAACGTCGCTTCGTTCTCTATCTCTCTTTACCTTCCCTTCTGCGATGGACCCTCCTTTAATCCTGTCTCTCATTTACTTCTTGACAAAGATTTACTCCACAAACTCTATGATACTTTTTGCACTCCCCTCACCCTTTTTAGTTTATCTCTTGCTGCCCTTTTAACCCTTTTACCATCCACTACCCCCCCTGTTTCCCGTACCATTACTCATCCACTCCCCCTTTTCCACCAGGCCCTCGCTTCCTTCCGCCCGCAGCGCTGTATATCCTTTTGGGTTTTGCCTTTTTTTTTTTATAAAAAAATAATATTTGTCTGTCTGTCAAGCTCCCCGTCTATCCCTCTACTCTCTGTCCAGAAAGCCCAAGGGCTGTGTCATCATCATTTTACCCACATCCCCCTTTCCGACTCAAAAAAAATTAAAGCAACACACTCCACACAAGACAAGCTTGCTGAATGAAAAATACGTTTTAGAAAGTATCTAGTGACCATATAGTGTAATATATTTTAAAAAAGAAACAAAAGGGGGCAAAGGGAAAGAAGGGGAAAGGGCAGATGAAAGGAAGAAAAAAATAAGGGAAAGGGCAGATGAAGGGAAAGTAGGGAAGAGAGGAGGAAAAGGGAAAGCAGGAAAAGGGAAAGCAAAAAGAATGAAGGGAAAGGAATGCAGGAAAAAGGGAAAGGGAAAGGGAAAGATACACAAACCATTTACCTAGGATAACACATAAAACAAATTTCCCGCTAATACTTTGAAGAAAACTGCTCAGACGGGTTTTTGTCTTTGCACATAAAAAAAAAGTCCACAAAAATGCACAACTTTTTGGGTTTTTTGTTGAGGAGTGTAAAACACAATTTTGGATAAAACATTTTCAAAAGTTTCACAACTGCAAACTTCAGAATAGTTTTGGTGACTTAATTGTAATATATTATAGAACATATAAAAAACAATTTTTTGTATGTTTTTTTTTTAAACAAGTTTTGTAAACAATATATTGATAATTATGTTTGTGTCTTATTGTTTGTAACAAGATGTATTATGTACATTTCACCTTACTTTGGGTCTCTAGGCCACATAAGTTATGTGAAAAAATAAAATAGTGAAAAAAACAACAAACCTTCAAATACAAGTAAACCAAAGTTTACCGGGTGAGCGGCAGTCGCCGCTGTTGCCATACGTGGCTCATTTTCTGCAAACTTCACGCCTCCATATCTTGGTAAGTATTGATGGTAAAAAATTTTTGTTTATCCTATAATGTTTAGAAAAAAAACTATTTTTTTTTCATAAGAAAAAATCTTTTTTTTTTTTTTTTTTTTTTTTTTTTTTGAAATTTGGCCGACCCTGAGAACAAGTCTCTGAGAGGGCCTGTCGACCCTCAAAGGGTTAAGGAAACTCTGCCACTTGTGGCAATTATGACAGAAGACATCGTGGCACAACACTTCTTCCTGTATGCGTATCTTCTACCTGTCTACCAGTAATATAATAATGGAACTGATGTAGAAAAAGATACCATACAATTTTGTTAAAATAATGGACCTGTCTAGCAGGAGCCAGTATAACCTGTTGCAGTGTTCCTCCATTCTAATGGTCTTATGTTCTCAATTATTTCCCAATTACTGCTTTTATCTTTATCATCAATAGGTTCTTGCATAATAAATTTAAAGACAAGAACTGTGGTAGGTGAACTGGCCCATAAGAGTAAGTTTTTTTACAATCCCATAGTTATTTCGTCCTGATCAAGAAAGCACTTCAAGATATGAGTGATCATAATATAATTGCAAAACAAAGCATCCTGTGCATTATTATTATTAATATTATTACTATTATCATTTCTAACCTTCCCTCATGAAAAAATGTTTTGGTAATAAGAGTAACTATGTCTCCACAAGAAGACTGATAAGTTGAGCAAATAAAGGGTACTGTAGGGGTAGGGGTTGCCCTAGAAAAGGTTGGAGTGAGGAGGTAAATGAGGTTTTGTATGTGAGGGGCTTGGAAAGTTGGCAGAGTGTGGGTGGGTGTGGGTGTGTTGGTGGGTGTGTGTGGGCATGTGGGTGGGTGGGTGTGTGGGTGTATGTGTGGGTGTGTGTGTGGGTGGGTGTGTGTGTGTGGGTGGGTGTGTGTGTGTGTGTTTGTGGTGGGTGTGTGTGTGTGTTTGTGGTGGGTTGTTTTGTGGGTGGGAGTGTGGGTGAGTGTGTGTTGTGTGGGTGTGTGTGTGTGGGTGAGTGTGTGGTGTGGGTGTGTGTGTGTGGGTGAGTGTGTTGTGTGTGGGTGAGTGTGTGTGTGTGGGTGTGTGTGTGTGTGGGTGAGTGTGTGTGTGGGTGAGTGTGTGTGTGTGTGTGTGTGTGTGTGTGTGTGTGTGTGTGTGTGTGTGTGTGTGTGTGTGTGTGTGGGTGTGTGTGTGTGTGTGGGTGTGTGGTGTGTGTGTGGGTGAGTGTGTGTGTGGGGTGAGTGTGGGGGGTGTGGGTGAGTGTGTGTGTGGGTGAGTGGGTGTGTGTGTGTTGGGTGTGTGTGTGTGTGTGTGTTGTGTGTGTGTGTGTGTGTGTGTGTGTGTGTGTGTGTGTGTGTGTGTTGTGTGTGTGTACTCGCCTAATTCACCTAATTGTGCTCACCTAATTGTGGTTGTAAGGGTCGAGACTCAGAGGGTGTGTGTGTGCGCGCGCGCATGTGCGCATGCATGCATGCATGCATGCGTGTACTCACCTAGTTGTGGTTGCAGGAGTCCTCTTCACTGGCTGCTACTAGGTCATTCTTCCTGCTGCATGAGCTTTATCATACCTCTTCTTAAAGCTGTGTATGGATCCTGCCTCCACTACATCACTTCCCAGACTATTCCACTTTCTGACAACACTGTGACTGAAACAATACTTTCTAACATCCCTGTGATTCATCCGAGTCTTCAACTTCCAACTGTGACCCCTTGTTGCTGTGTCCCATCTCTGGAACATCCTGTCTCTGTCCACCTTGTTGATTCCTCTCAGTATTTTATATGTCATTATCATATCCCCCCTATTTCTCCTGTCTAACATTGCCGTCAGGTCGATTTCCCTTAACCTCTCCTCGTAGGACACACCTCTTAGCTCTGAGACTAGTCTTATTGCAAACCTTTGCACTTTCTCTAGCTTTCTTACATGCTTAGCTAGGTGTGGGTTCCAAATTGGTGCTGCATACTCCAATATGAGCCTAACATATACAGTGTACAGGGTCCTGAACGATTCCTTATTAAGATGTCGGAATGCTGTTCTTAGGTTTGCTAGGCGCCCGTATGCTGCAGCAGTTATTTGGTTGATGTGTGCCTCCAGAGATGTGCCCGGTGTTACACTCGTCCCAAGATCCTTTTCCTTGAGTGAGGTTTGTAGTCTCTGGCCCCCTAGACTGTACTCTGCAGTCTTCTTTGCCCTTCCCCAATCTTCATGACTTTGCATTTGGTGGGGTTTAACTCCAGGAGCCAGTTGCTGGACCATGCCTGCAGCCTGTCCAGATCCCTTTGTAGTTCTGCCTGGTCCTCGTCAGATTGAATTCTCATCAACTTCACATCATCTGCAAACAGGGACACTTTGGAGTCTATTCCTTCGTTGTGTCATTCACAAGTACCAGAAACAGCACCGGTCCTAAGACTGACCCCTGTGGAACCCTGCTTGTTGCAGGTGCCCACTCTTGACACCTTGCCACACACCATGACTCATTGTTGTCTTCCTGACAGGTATTCCCTGATCCATTGTGTGTGTGTGTGTACATACTCATTCACCTAGTTGTTGTTGGAGGGGTTGAATCATAGCTCCTAGCCCTGCCTCTTCACTGGTGTGTGTGTTTGTGAGTGGAGTCAAGTGGTTTTTGGGACTTGATGAGCTGTTAGCGTGAGTAACATAACATTTTAGGAAGAGATTCAGGGAAACCAGTTAGCTGGACTTAAGAGTCCTGCAGATAAAAAGTACAGTACCTGCACTCTGAAGGAGGGGTGAAGATATTTGCTGTTTGGAGGGGCATCTGAACCATAGTATCTGCACACCCTGGCAAAACAATGATGTAGTGAATGATGGTGAAAGTGTTTCTTTTTCAGGTCACCCTGCCTTGGTGTTAGATGACCAGCATGGTAAAAACAATTGTGATGAAAGTGGAAGAAAGGAGTAAGAGGCAGCATGAATAATAGTCTATGATAAAATAATGAAAGCATCTGACAGTGACTTGAGTAATTATAGAGAAAAGATTCACTTGAAGACTACAGAAATGAAGTTGTTGAATGAAGCACAAGATATTGAATGAAATACAACTTATCCAGTGTTGTAATAACTTGTTTATTTCTCTTACAATTGGGGGGGGGGAACATGGACCTGCTTTGCATGGGTCAGTAGACCTGTTGCAGTGTTCCTTCTTTCTTATGTTGTTGTTCTTATGTTCTTATTAAATCTCATGACTGTCTTTATTTCACTGCTTTAAGGTTCCGCAGTAAGCAGTTTGAGAAGTATGTTAAAGCAATGGAGAACCATCGAGTGAAGATGGGGAGTGCTGCTGGCAGCAGTGGGGGAGCATTAGGAGCTGCAAGCCGGGAACTTTATTCCAACTATCAGCATGTTGGCAAAAAGGCTCAAGCTCTGTCAATGGAAATGACAAAGTAAGTTAAAAGTTTACACATTTTAATTAGTAATTTTGTTTGCCAGATGCAGCATTCTTTTTCTCATAATTAAGAAAGGAAGAATTTATTTTTGCACCCTTTGCAGTTGTTGGTATAAACATTGGTAAAGTTTTTAGATAAAATGGATACAATATTCAAGTACAGCCTCTCCTCACTTAGCGACTGAGTTCCGTTCCTAAGCCCACGTCATAAACAAATTTTCCTAAGAAAGGGAGCATACTATAATAGGGGTTTGTTTTTAACCACTTTGATATGTTCTAATGTCACCTTTGCCCATTTTTAGCATGTTTTAAAGTTTATACAGTATGTCCCCTCAAGGGAAAGGGTTTCATTGACTGGTGGGGGGCTCTTACTCTAGGAAACTGGATCTGTGCTCCGTTCTCTGAATTAAGCCGAATACCTTCCACCCCCCAAAAGGGCCTGTATAACCCTAGGTTTTTAGTGCTTCCCCCTTGTTATAACAATAATAAAAATATACATATAAAAGTGTTTTGAATAAACAGAATGAGGAAATAGCCTAATAACATTATTTAGGTAGCATTGGTTAGAATCCCTCGTAAATCTAGTCGTCAGTAAATGAGTATTTTCTGACGAGGAGAGGCGTAAACTTTTCTTTGGGTTTCTTTTTAAATTTTTTTTTAGTTTCAGGTTACAGTTTTGCCCCTTTTCACCCAGCATATATTATACATCCCTTTTCAATTTTTTTTTTTTTTTTCTTGCTTTTTACTTTAGAAAGTACTCAACTGGTTATCCCAAATTTTTACCTTCTGTATGTGCTTCCTGAATTTAGCCTTTTCAATTTCTGAACAGTTTTCTTACCTGGCACTGGCCACTGTATTTTTTGTTTCCTTGGACCAGCTCTCAGTACTTCACATGCCTTGTTATTTAATACAAATCTTTTCATTTATTTTTTTTATTTTTTTTTATTAAAAATTTGACCACACATACAAGGTACAAAAAAAACAGAAAAACCATCCCAAAAAGCCACTTATACTATCATAGCTTACGGGCTGGTTTAAAATTAACTTAAGAAAACTAAGCAATATAAAACATGAAAAAAACATTAATTTAAAACAGTTTTACTATAAAGCACAAGTATATTGCAAAGACGGGTCAATGGTTGCATCATTGTTGTACATTCAGTGATGGATATTCGTTGGGAAGTGTATTTAAAAAAATAATAAGTTAGATTGGGTTTTTATTTTAACTTTAAGTGATAAATTGTGAGAAACATTTAAGATATACAATTTATCAGGTTCAAATTCAGATTTTTTTTGGTTTTGGGTAAGGATTTTTGAGAGAACTTAATTTATAACAGGTTGTTTCTTTATTTTACAGGTAATGAATTCCAGATTTAGGGCCTTTTATGTCATTTATTTTTGCATAATGTAGATGGACACAGAACATCAAAGAGTGTCTTGGGGCCTTTGTTTTGGGCAGTGTTCGTTAGGGTTCAAAGGGGAATTTTGAGGGAGGGGTTTTAAAATCAGAGTTAAGTGTTTGTGTATTTAATAGGTGCAGAATAAGTATGGATTTTTTTAGGGGGAGAGGTTTTTGTGTATTGAATATTGGGGGAGTGTGCTGCCCTTTGTGAAATTTGTTATCATTCTAACTGAGACTTTTGTTTAATTGTGTCTGAGATGGTTAATTTTTTTTGAGGGCCCCTGCACTTCCTTCGACCAGTTTTCAAATGCGACACCTTTTTACCTAATACGCATCTACTCCCACGTCCCTTTCCCGAGAAAAAAGTCCTTAGTATGTTTACACACCATTTTTACTCTTTCAAGTTTACCTGTGATCTCCTCATTCATTCACGTGTGTTTACCAAACCAGAACAAGTGATTGCTGTTTCATGTTATAAATATCAAACAAGCAAGCTTTGTTTGATACATGATGCACTTTCCTTTAAGAGTAAAGCAATACTATTTTAACCCTTCCCCTGCTCATCATAGATCACAAATTGATACCAGAGACACATATTACTAATTAATAATAAAAAAATTTTCTACATTACAATGTAGCAGGCCTACGACATCAGTAACATACTACTACAGTATAAAAAACCCCTTGTTTTTTCAGAATTTTGGCAAAATTTAAAAAAAATTTTATCCCCAGGATCGACCCCACCATCAACAACACCCAGGTGCCTTTTACACTAAGTAAGGGGGCATAAGAAAATAACAAAAAAGGGAAACGAAAATGGCTACTGGCCCATGCAATTAGCACAAGCTAATCAGGGCCAACTCACACCCACCCATGCCCACTCGTATTTTTCAACCTATTTTTTTTAAACTACACAATGCTTAGCTTCATAGGTACTTGAGAATTTGTTCCACTCATTCACAACCCATTTCCAAACTAGTGCTTTCCGTATCCTTCCTAATCTTAATTTTTTCCCGCTTTAAAACCCTTGCTGCGAGTCCTATCAAGACCAAATTTTTTGCACCTATTTTTCATCCCCCCTTTTTTTTATTCCTGTTTTCCACTTTTAAAACCTCATCATCTCCCCCAAATTTTACGCCTTTCAGAGGTGCAGATTCAAGGCCCCCTCACTATCCTCATAGGGAAGATTTCGATACATGGATCAAATTTGTCACCTCCTTTTTTACATTTTCCAGTGCATTTTTACCCATTCTGTAATTGGTGACCAGAACGTGACAAAATCTAAAATGAGGCTTAACCAAATATATTAGGTTGAAGAACAACCGAGGACTTTTTATTTTTTAACTTTTTTGATATGAAGCCAAGGATTCTGTTAGCTTTATTGCGAACACTTTGCACTGTTGTATTGGTTTCAGAGTACTGCTAACCAGAACTCCTAAATCCTTTTTGCAATCAGTAATATTAAGATCTACATTATTTAGTTTATATGTGGCATGGTTATTTTCCTGTATTAAGAAAACATGTCCTGCTGTTCCACCCATACCCCACCCATACCAAGGATTGAACCACGAACTTCGAGTGTGTGAGCTGAGTGTGCTTGCAGTTGACCTACATTTTGAGCTCGGCTCCCTCAGTTAAGCTGTGAGTGGTAAATTTTGGTCTAGACATGAGAGAATGAGTTTGAGTGGTGTGTGTCTTCTTTCTTCTTTCAACGTACCAGCCATATCCCACTGAGGTGGGGTGGCCCAAAAGGAAAAACGAAAGTTTCTCCTTTTAAATTTAGTAATATTATACAGGAGAAGGGGTTACTAGCCCTTTGCATTTTAGTCGCCTCTTACGACACGCATGGCTTATCGGAGGAAGAATTCTGTTCCACTTCCCCATGGAGAGTGGTGCGTGTGTACTGTATAAAAAAAGTCCTGCCCCCACTGGTGCATGATGGGAAAAACAAACCTCTGATCTTGAGTTTTTTCTAGAATGTTTTTTTTATGGCTTTATTGGCTGTTTATTGGTATCATTTGATAGAATGGAAGATACAGTACTAAAACAGAGATGATTTTGGTTGGTTTCAGGACTGGGCTCAAAATAGGGGGAAATATTTGATTTTTGACAATTTTTCTGAGGACGGTAAGGCCCCTCTACACCCCCAGGTTTGTTTTATGGGTTTTTAATAAACCTTTAATGACCGAGATGCCATAAACCATGACCAGTCATTCCTGGTTATATTTTTTTTATTCAAGAAATAGAGTAAATCTTGGATTTTTTTTTCTTCTGATCAATTCAAGATGGAGAGCAAGTGCAATATAAGAGAGACCTGAGGACATGATTTATGAACAGACAGAATTCTGCTTTAGTGCCTGGAATGTCTATAGTTTTTATTTTGAACTGTTTTTATGTTGGAATTTTTTTAATTGTGTGTAATATTGACCAAATTTCTGACTTCTGTGCACTTCGTAGGGTAGTTCTGATAGTTGAATGGGCAGTTTCTTGTGCTCAATCAATAGAATGGAAGGCATACTTACGAAGTAGACAAGAATTTGGTCAAATTGAGCAGTGGAATTGACTTAAAATAGGACTCGAAGTGGGTGAAATTGCTGATACGTAAATTATGCCCAGATCAATAACTTTGAGCTAGCGTAATTCCATAATTATCTTCAGATTCTCTCCCATTTCAGATTATCTTTTTATCATATTCTCAACATTTTCAACACTTTTAATTCTGGGGCTTCCAACAGTGAAGGGGTTAAGTATATATAGAAATGGTCTACTAATATTAACTAAGAGAATACTAAGAAAGAACAAAGGTTTAAACATAATGATAAATTAAACATTATCTTTTCATCTGTATTTTACTTTCATTGAATACTTTTTTCTTTTGCCTTTTATTTTTCTCCTTTTTTGTGCAGTTTTTGTCTTTCCTATTTCCATTCCACAGTCTTGCTTATATTTTCTTATTCTGTAAGACAGTTTTCAATTATTTCATCTATTCTTATAAGCTTTCTCCTGGATTAAGCATCAAATGATTGCTTAATCTGCGTGGTATCCAAGCCATCTTGGGAAAAGTTGTAAATCTTTCAAGTACTCTTTCAAAGATCTGTAATTGTCTTTTACAGATTTTTTAATTTTTTTTTTATCTTTATATTTTCATAATACTGCATTGTCAGAGATGAAGAGAATATTTTGAAGAGTTGGTAAACGTGGATGGTGAAAGAGGCGGTGATTTCATGCATGGGGCAGGGAGGATAGAATCTGCTAGGAAAAAGGAGACAGAGGTGAGTGTGGGATAGATGGGCTTAAGAATAAGATGCTGGAAGAAGGTGGAGATACAGTATTGCAATAGCTGGAGCATTTGTTTAATACATGTATGAAAGATGTGAAGGTACCTAAGGATTGGCACAGAGCATGTATAGTTCCTTTATATAAAGGAACCTCTACATGTGTCACCATGGTGGTTTAAATGTTTTTACGCATATTTTTTTGTCTAACTCATTGGCCATTTCCCACCGAGGCAGGGTGACTGTTTTATATAATTGAGTTGTATATAACAGTGTTGTAAAAGAAGTGAATGAATGATGGAGAGAAGTGTGAATATAAAACTAATAGTAATACAAATTTGGGATTTTGCTATTCTTGAGCACCTGTTCTTTCAAGAAATTCACAAGCATTCACACACCAAGCTAAGTATAAATGCAATAACAGCAATGAAGAAGAAATGCTAACATTTATATTCAAGAGTGACATTATAATCATCAAGATCACAAGTTTAGAAAAGAATAGGCAGCTGCCTAGGGCACCAACTGGTGGCAAGGAGTGACATAGCATGATTAATTTTTCTTTATTAAATAGGCTCCAGGGATTCTACTTTAAAGTAAAATAATGCCTTTTGAGGGTAATATGACCTTTCCTATGATAAAATTTGCAGCAAGCTGAAATTTTGCAAAAACCTGGGTAATGTGTTGTCTTATCTGTGTTATGTTCAATATATTTTGGAATCTTTATTGAGTGTTCCATTACTGTTTATACAAGATATATTTGTAGTTTTTTCCAAGAGTACTTCTTATTTGAATCTGATATGAAGTGGAAGCTGTGATTGTTGCTTTGTGCTGAAGACAGTGCTTTTGGGAGATATGAAAGAGAAGTTTGGGAGTATGGAAAAGAAGTAAGTTGAAAATGAATATGGAAGAGAGCAAAGTGATGAGATGAAAAGTCACGGCAAAGAAAGATGGGAAATAAGATTGGAGGGAAGGAATATGAAGTGAACATACTGTATTTAGATATTTGGGTGATATGTCAGCAGATTGGTGTATGAAAGGTGAGTGAATTGCAGACTAGATGAGGCTTAAGACTCAGGTGCTGGAAGGTTTGAGGCTTCTTCAGCAATCTACTGAAGAGCATCTCAGTTGTAAGCCAAATTTTACAATATTCTTACTCTGTTCTGTGTTATTTTTTCCATGTGGATTTGTTGTGCCATTAAGTGCTAAGGCAACTACCTCATGTGAACAGTGACCAACCATCTTGATATAATGTGTGTTCTCTAACACCATTTCCTTTCCATCATTCATTTACAGTATACACAATCCTCATTCTCACTGAAATTCTTAGATGTTAATTTATATAATCTTTGATTCATAAATCTTGAATACAATTGAAGAAACGTAATTCGTCTGATAAGCAGTTTTTAATGTACTTTTTTCAAGATATTAACTTATGAAATATTTCAGGAATACTGAAAAATTTGATTCACTACTCATTCTTCTGATCACGGACGAGGATGATGCAAGAAAAGAGGATGTGACTGAAACTAAACCTAAGAAAAGTGTACAAGAAAAGGAAGGGGAGTTAGGTGATATGAAAGAAACACTTAGAGAAGCAGAGACCATAATGGTACAAACTATGGAGGAAGCAGGCACAGTGTATTCAGAGAAAGTCACGCAAAATGAAACTGCTAAGAGTGAAGAAACTAGTATTGGTATAAAAAAAGAGAAAGATGTGCTTGTCATTGTGGAAGAACTGAGGACCTTACGTGATCATCAGGCTGATCTTATATCTCAGCTTATGACAGAACTCTCATACATGGAGAAGGAGAACACACTTTTGAAGAGTCAAGTAGGTCCATCTGTGTTTAATTAGCCTTATTGGTGGAGGAATGCTTCATTTTCCTTATTTTCCTAATTTCTGCTTGATTTTGGATATGTAGGATATATAATTTAATGACCATTTAATGACTTGAGTCCTGGCAATGGGAAGTACAATGCCTGCACTTTAAAGGAGGGGTTTGGGATATTGGCAGTTTGGAATAACTATGTAAACTGTCATATCTGGGCGCCTCTGCAAAGACAGTGATTATATATGAGTGATGGTGAAAGTGTTAAATGATAATGAAAGTATTTTTCTTTCTTTTTGGGTTTTTCTTTCTTTATGGGTCACCCTGCCTCGGTGGGAAATGGCCAATGTGTTAAAAAAAATTAATTACAAAGATTATAGTCTGTATGTGTCATTGTTATTGAAGAAAATTTGTTGGCAGGATTATTTAGGAAGGTATGTGGAGACAGAAAGGTCAGAGATGAGGAGAGGGACACGGTAACTTGTGATAGGTTTCTATATAGAATGTGAGAGGAGGTAATGGAAGATAGAGCTAGAGAGCTTTGATAACTTATTTGTAATTACAGTTGCTAAGCTAAGCTTGTTGGTTACTTGTCATCAATGTTGAGTCCATCATAAGTATATTACAACGTAATATCTTAGTAGGACCACTGTATCCATGGGGGATACGTTCCAAGACCTACCATGGATACCTGAAACCACGGATAGTAGCAGCCTGTATATATATAATTTTTTAATTTCCATAAATACCTGTGATAAAGTTTAATCGATAAATTGCGTACAATAAGCGGACAATTAGCAGTTTTTCACTGATGGAAAACCCTTCAGGGCTTTTCTTAGGTTTTGAAGAATTGCCATCATTGCTACTTCTAAACTTGAGTGCCATTATTAACCCTTTGAGGGTCGATAGGCCCTCTCCAAGACTCGTTCTCAGGGCCGGCCAAATTTAAAAAAAAAAATAATTTTCTCTTATGAAAAGATAGAGAATCTTTTCCCAATCATAATGACACCAAAAGTTTGAAATTTGATAGAAAACTTACGGAATTGCTCTCGCGAAGTTAGCGGTCTTGGCGATGTTTACGCATCGGCGATTTTGCCCATTTTGAGCCCCATTTTCGGCCAATTCCACTGTACTAGTCGACAAAAAACATGAATATTTCGCTAGAACTCCATTTTTTCTATCGAATGAGTGCAAGAAACCACCCATTTATCAATTTCAACTATCCAGTACAGTGGTCAGAATTTAGCAATTTTGCCAATTTCACACAAATTTCAAAGATGCCAATTTCCGAATAGGGTCCAGAATAAACAAGAAAGACATTCCTGGCACTAAAATGACATTTCCTCTGTTCATTAGTCACATCTCAAGGCCCCCCTTATATTCTTTTGCTTTCCACTTTGAATTTTTATTCTCACAAAAAATAGATTTACTGTTATGCAGACTACTGCATTAGTGTAAAAAATGGTATAAATAATATTGGCGCACTTGCGAAAGAATATTAGACTCGCCAGTTGACGTGTATTAGATGCTTGGCATGATTTGTTTACTTTTGAACTTCGGTAAAAATCGAACATTTCTGCTACTTTGAGCTCAATTTCAAGGTACTTTTCATTGTAAAACCAGTCAAAATCATCTCAATTTCTGTAATATGTCTTCCATTCTATAAAATGAGACCAAGAAAACTAGAATACAACAATAAATACCATACGAAAATACAGTGCAAAGTTGCTATTTTATTCCAAAAAAAACGGCCAAAGTTTTTTTTTTCACATTATGCACTGTGTGCTGCAGGATTTTTTTTATACTGTGCACACTGACCACATAGACCCATTCTTTCATATGTAGGCCTACTAGCTTTCTCCCACTAGATTTGAGGGCGCTAGAATTTAGGCGTACTAGTACGTCAAAAACCCTGGGTCGTAAGCTGTACTAGTACGGCCGAAACCCTCAAAGGGTTAAGCAAAATTAAGGGTTATTTTTGGGCCACGGAAAACTGCAGAAGCCGGACCCATGGATGCAGTTGTCCTTCTGTAATATTTACACTGCCCTTCCACTTCAAGGGGGGCTCCTTGGTGCAGTGAAGAGACTCTTGGTCTGAGGAATTAGACCTTTTGGTCTCCTTCCTCAGACCAAACCTAATTACCCCCCAATCCCCCCTTCTCTATCCCATCCTCCCCATCCCCCCTTTTTCCCTTTCCTCCTCCTCCTCCCAATCCCTCCTCTATTCCCTTCCTAATTTTCAGCCTTTGGTATTCTTCCCACAGGCACACTAGTTCCTAGGTAGGGGGAAGGGTACAGGGATCCATCCCATTCCGTTGAGGTCGTTGGCAGTGGTGTAGTTTGCCATGGAATCTGGATCACCTTGGGATGTCCCGATCCCTTTCCGGTCTCCCGGGGGGTGGCTTTGGGTGTCTTTCGGGTGATTGGTATATCTCTGAAGGCCACCACCACGGGGTGGTGGCCAAAGGAGGTATGCATTGTGGCAGGTGTCTGGCCGCCCTCCCTTTTGTTCACTGAGGAGGCTCAGCAGATGTGAAGTTGCTATCCCGGATTGCTTGTTTACTGGCATAAAGGGTAGGGTATGGCACCGGTTCCATGCTGCATCTGCACTACTTACGGTGCTGAGGTTCTCTTGGGTGCTGAAGGAGATTTAAGGCCCTTTCATTCCTCCTAGGAGCTATTCCTCCATGTTCCCCCTTTTTTTTTTTTTTTTTTATTTTCTTTCTCCCCCCCCCCCCCCCCAAAAAAAAAAAAATAAAGGAGTGACCTAACCATGGAGTTCCCAATCTATGAACCTGCTCCCCATGGACCCCTTCCTGATACCGCACCCTGTTCTGACCCTGCCTCATTATTTGACCACTCTTCGGACATTTCTAATGCCCTTTACCTCCTGCTGGTGCCATTTCGACACCTCCAGATACCGGGCTTTCAACTGATTCATTCAATACATCTGACCTCCGCTCTTCTTTGACTGTGCTTCCAGCTTCTTCCTCTACGATGCAGCAATTTTTGAATCGCCTCTCCGTCCCACGTCAGACCAACTCTGGTCCCACACCTAAATGCCCAAGACCATTACCTGATGATACTTCTTTGCTTCCTTCTTATTCTACTCGGAAAAGACTGGCACGTCATGCACTCCCTATCTACGCTATGTTTCAAAATACGCAACAGACTAAGTTTTTTACTCTACAACCAACTTTCTCTACTGCCTATCTTTCCAGCCATGGTATTGGCAAGGTGCTTCTATGCCATGCCCTAATAATCATCCCCCTCTCTTGCTACCCAATACCCCTGCATCCTTCCCTGCCCTGCTGTGCTGTATGACCCTTGTAGGTTTAGAGCTTCTTTTTTATTATAATACTTATACACTGTCCTTAGAATACAGTTCAGTACCTAAGTGCTTGCCATAGTTTTTATATGCATGCTTTAGCTTTCAATAGGGCTTTTGCTTTATAGTACAGCCTCTCCTCACTTAACGGTGGAATTCCGTTTCTAAGACCACGTTGGTAAATGAATTTGTCGCTAAGCAAGGAGCATACTATAATGGTGGTGGGTTTGTGTCACCCATCTTTGATATTGTTTTAATGTCACCTTTGCTCCATTTATAACATTTTTATTATATTTTTAAATGTTTATACAGTAGTGCACCATATACAGTGGACCCCCGGCTTACAATATTATTTCATTCCAGAAGTATGTTCAGGTGCCATTACTGAACGAAATTGTTCCCATAAGGAATATTGTGAATTAGATTAGTCCATTTCAGACCCCCAAACATACACGTACAAACGCACTTACATAAATACACTTACATAATTGGTCGCATTGGGAGCTGATCTTAAAACGGGGGTCCACTGTATTGTACTAAACTGAATGGAGAAATTCAGCTCTAATATACGTTATTTAGGTATACATATTGGTCAGAGAGCCTGCCGTAAGTCCGAGTTATTGGTAAGCAAGTACATCGCTAAGTAAGGAGAGGCCGTATTTATTATAGCTACGGTTTTCTTACTATTAAAATAGGTTCTAAAGGAAACCTTCTTGAAATAAAATGACAGAATTTATTTTATTTACTTACTTCATGCAAAGCATACAAAAATTTAGTTTGTGACTTCGCAGTTGTGGTTTACCACCCAGCATGTAAAGTTGCAATTCCATTTGTAAAGCTAGACATGACATACTGTATTACTGGAAAGATGGCAATTGAGTCACTTTTAGTGAATGTATTTTCATCTTTGGGCCACCCTGCCTTTGGGGGAGATGGCCATTAAATTGAGCAGAAATTAATGGTACAAAATACCGACAAGTAGATGAATAAGACTAGTAACGGTTGGGCATCTTTATTGTTTGAACGTCTTGCCTGCTTAGCAGGCTGCAGTCAAACATAGAGGAGACTTCTATTGATTCCAATTTTGAAGTTGCCTCTGTATTTACCTGAAGAATGTTGTTGATCCAGCAAAATGTTTCGACAGTAAAGAGGCTTGACTGTTTAATGTGTGTGTCTTTCTCATGATGTGACTTCTTAAAGACTATCTTATGTGTGTTTTCTGTGTGTAGCTATGTTGGTTTTTAATAGTTTTGTGTAATTTTTACATGTACAGTTTAAGAATACCAGATATATTCATTGGGAGGCACTAAATCTGTAAGAGTCATACAACACCTAGAGAATGGGAGGGGTGAAGGGTAATCAGGTTTGACCCAAAGAAAGGGAGGATAGCTCTAATTTCTTTGATTCAGTACCATTCACCAGATTAAGGCATCCCTCCTTAAAGGGCAAAGAATTGATAGTTTTTTTTTTTTTTTTTTTTTTTTTTTTTTTTTTTTTTTTTTTTTTTTTTTTTTTTAACAAGTTGGCCATCTCCCATCGAGGCAGGTTGACCCAAAAAGAAAATACTTTAATCATCATTCAACACTTTCACCTCACTCACACATAATCACTGTTTTTGCAGAGGTGCTCAGAATACAACAGCTTAGAAGCATATACGTATAAAGATACACAACATATCCCTTCAAACTGCCAATATCCCAAACCCCTCTAACGTGCAGGCATTGTACTTCCCATTTCCAGAACTCAAGTCCGGCTATATAAAAATAACCGGTTTCACTGAATCCCTTCACTAAATATTACCCTGCTCACACTCCAACAGCTCGTCAGGTCCCAAAAACCATTCGTCTCCATTCACTCTAACACGCTCATGCACACTTGCTGGAAGTCCAAGCCCCTCGCCCACAAAACCTTTTTTACCCCCTCCCTCCAACCTTTTTGAGGATGACACCTACCCTGCCTTCCTTCCCTTAGAGATTTATACACTCTCCATGTCATTCTACTTTGATCCATTCTCTCTAAATGACCAAACCACCTCAACAAGCCCTCTTCAGCCCTCTGACTAATACTTTTATTAATTCCACACCTTCTCCTAATTTCCATGCTCCAAATTTTCTGCATAATATTTACACCACACATTGTCCTTAGACAGGACATCTCCACTGCCTCCAACCATCTCCTCGCTGCAGTATTTACAACCCAAGCTTCACACCCATATAAGAGTGCTGTTACCACTATACTTTCATACATTCCCTTCTTTGCCTCCATAGATAACGTTTTTTTGTCTCCACATACACCTCGACACACCACTCACCTTTTTTCCTTCATCAGCTCTGTGATTAACCTCTTTCTTTCATAAATTCATCCACTGACATGTCAAGTCCCAAATATCTGAAAACATTCACTTCTTCCATACTCCTCCTCCTCCAATATGATATCCAATTTTTCTTTATCTAAATCATTTGATACCCTTATCACTTTACTCTTTTCTATGTTCACTTTCAACTTTCTACCTTTACACACACTCTTAATAATAATAATTATAATAATACAGTAATATTAATAAAATAATAATCACCCAGTATTGCTAATTGACTTGCATTACAGGTTCGTGAGCTACAGAGCAAGTGTGATCAATATGAAAATGAGCGTCGGCGGATGAGGGCAATGGCTGACTCGAGCTGCTCTCCTTTCGTCTTTTCTCCACTCAGTGAGCTCTCCCCAGACCCCCCAGGAGTTCCAGATCTTGCACCTCTGGAAATGCCACCACTCGATTTCATGGAAAATTTTGAACAAGAGTCCTTAATAGTGATTGCTCAAAATATATCCTTTTGTATACCGAAGAATATGCAACATCATATAGTTGTTAGATATATCTTAACTATATGCTATTTACAAAAAAACAAATGCCAACTAATTATTATACAATATTTGCAAATTACGCTTTTGTACTTTTAATACAAGGATGAAATATAACATTTAAAGTGTTTATTATTTGATTATAAATTTGTTGTACTAATAGGTAAAACTAGTTAAGAAATACTGTACGGTATTTTGTATAAAACATGCAGATAACAGTGAACTGAATTACTAATTATTAGACAGATTTCTTTGAAAGAGCCAAATGATAAGCTTACTGTATAGGTAATTTGGTGCTGTACATGCAGAAAAGTTGATGGTGCACATCATAAATCTGGTCACTGAAAAGTGAGAAATCACCCAAATTGAAAAATAAAAGCTGGTAAAAATAAATATATGTATATATATCAACCTCAGGGTCCTCATCTGCTGAAGAGGCACTCTGACTGAGGTTAATACATGCAGATCTCTTACCTGTATTTGTTTTTCTGCTTTAAGTGATTTCTCACTTTACATGCTGAACATCTAGACAAACGATAATGGGGTACTAGAGTACTAGCAGCAGAGGTGGTTTTCTTTTGGCTCAACTCTGTAGCTTTTGCAAGTGACAAAGAAACAAATGGTTGCCAATGAAATAAAGAGTATAACCTATGTGGTACTGTACATCTTGTGCATAAAATACTTGTGTGAGAATGAGTATGTGGAGGTACTCAATTAAAACATAATTCAAAATGTGTCTTGCTTAAGCTGCAATCCTCATTTTATATAGTGTGCTGTGGGTACAAAAATATTGTCTGCTGACTGTTACTGCTGTTGCCATATATTTGCCTAGTTATGGTTGCTGGGGTCAAGTCTTGGCTCTTGGTCAAGATGATTGTTCTGTGTATGTCAACAAAATCTATGATCGGTAAACAATTACAGGTCTGTTAGTCTGATCCAGTGTTGGCTTTTTATAAAATTTAAAAAAAAAAGATGCTTCAAAATGATTTGTATATTACTAACAATGTACATGAAGACACTGACAAATGTAATTTCTTCCATAAAAGAACACTATAAGGGAGGGCCTTAATGCTCTTAACCTAAGGAATTATAGCTGCCCTCTTGAATCAAACCTGATTACCTTCTATTACACAGATGTTATATAATCCCCATGATTTTTAGTGCTTTCCTTGGAATATTACACACACAATATAAAAAGAAAGTTTGCATCTAGTTTTAGAAGAGAAAAGATATTAATGTGTAAATAAAAAATGTAAGGTAATCCTTAGCACTTTTACATGTCTTAAGTTTTCTTCAGTGATGTAGGTTTTAAACCAATTCAGATCTTTGGTGCCTTATCCTTTGTATGTATTCATCACTGGCTATGGTGTATTTTCAGCAAATGCAAAAGGGTTATATTTTCATTGGTCCTTCCTGGTCATGCTGGAGTTTAGGGCACTGAACTGTAAACTTCTCTTCAACTGTTCAGAGCCTTTTAGTTCCCCAGTAGACATTGCTATTTTCAAACTTTTCTGGTACTGACTTGGTACTTCAGCGATCACTGGTTATCGGTGTACATTTGTGACCAGCATTCTGTTTTTACTCCAACTGCAATAATACCTCTCATCATTCTTCATTACTGTTGGTGGTGGGAAATGATAATCTCGTACCCATGTTTTGGTCACGCAACACTCATTCATGAACCATCTCATATAGTGATTACCAGTGCCACTGCTAATTGTCTGTTGATTGATTATTCCATTCATTAAAGAGCACACACTTCATCTTTGACCTTTCCAGCAATACAGCCTGCAAAAAAAAAAAAAAATGCAAAATATGGATAAAATGCAAAAACAGTTTGATGATCTTTATTAGGGAACTTAACAAGTATAAAACACCAGTATTTGACCTTTCCTTTCATTACTTTTTTTTTTAAATCTTTTCTGGCAAAAAATCACTTGGTTTCTGGAAATTAGTCAGCTCTATATAAATCCATAAATTTTTCAGGACTATCAACTTTGGGATGCTGGAGATTTGCTGCTCTGCTACTTAGGATATCAACTCCTGCCAAGCATTTTCAGTTTGATTGCAATCAGGGCTGTTACCTGGCCACTCCAAAACAGTGATTTCATGCTGTCTCAACCAATCTTTAACCTTTTTGCTGTGGTGGCAGGGGGCTGTCATGTTCTGTATATAGGTGTTAGTGCCATGAATGTCATAGTGAGTGACAAGTTTCTCATTAAGGATTTGTAAATATTTCTCCTGGTTCATCATCTCACTCATGGGCAAAAAATGAAGACCACTTAACCACGGTCATTGCTGAAACTCCTCCTCCAAACCATGACCTTGGCAAGGTTTCTAGCAGTCTTGATTGTGAAATAGGGCACAACCCTTGAGCCACTGGAATGATGAACCCATTTTGAGAAATTCCTGATGACTCAAAAAGTTGATTAATCACTAAACATGACATTCCTTCAGTCATCTATAGTCCAATCCCTGTGCTTGTCACAAAAAGTAAGGTGAACTTAGTGCTTACTTTCAGTGATGAGGGGTTTCTTGATAGCCCTATAACCTAGCATCCTTGGAAACTTTTGCAGGCAGTGTTGCAAGGTGTGCACAGCAACTTCTCTCATGACACCAGGAAACTTTCTTTAATTCCTGAGCAGTAATTGTTAGGTTTAGCATAACTTCCCTCATCAGAAGAGTCGGTGCATGGGGTGGTCTTCAGGGGCCTCCCAGACCCCTTCCTAATTGGAGTGTGGCCATGAGGCAGGTTTCTTGCATCTTTTGAAGTTCCAGTTAGACTATGGAATGCATCCCTGATTGCATTATCTTTCATGGATTCCTTGTCTAGGAATGTGATGACACAAGTCTTATCCTCCATACAAAGCCTATATACTAACCCACTGTGATTGACAAACAGCTGTAGATGGTGGAAGTACAGTCCTGCAGGGCAAAAGGGGTGCACTACAAGTGTGACAACACCTCTCTCTCATTCGTGGCCCTCTTGTGTGTGTGTGTGTGTGTAAATTTCATCTTTTACAGGCTAATAGCTGTTATCTTACATAGTCATTTCAAAGCCTGGTATTGGTTATGGCATACCAGCCTAAAGATGCAACCACAAGTGTTGATTAACTCCATGGTACAATACTTTATTTGCCAATAGGTGAACTGGAGCATTGGGTCAAAGAGGACTCTTCCCATACATCCTGCCTACCTGTGCTACACTGACTAACTCATATTTAGTGACTAAGGATACATTAAAGAACAAGTTTGCTTAGCCACCACCTATAGCAGCTCTCGTTACTAATTTTCCTCACAAAAAATCCATATTTCTTAGCAGATTCTTTTACCCCAAAATATGGGTCTACACTACACCAAATAATTGTTTTAAAAAATCATTGCATTGCATCCAAAGAAATTTGAGAAAATTAATGCTGTATACATTTTATTAAAGCTTTTTTAACATAGCCCAACCAACCTCAAAAAAGTGTCAATGATTCCATGTTGAAGGAAGGAAGGATATACAATTTAAATCTGATTGTAGTCACACTGTTTTTCAGCTTCAGTTTAATTTTTTTATGGTATGCACAGAATTTGTAATCTATACATAAATCGCCCTTCAGAAAAAATACTTTGATGCTAGTGAAGGGCTCTTGATCCAAGTACTTAGAGCTACCCTCATTTTCCTTAAACCAAACCTGATTTCCTCCCATTCCTCAGGTGCTATATATATATACATGACTACTCCCCCCCATGGGTCTAGTGCTTCCTAATGAATATAATAATAAAAATGATAATATACAGTATTTTTAAATTTTAAAAAATTAAGTTGTTTATTTCCAGAAAGTATAGTACACTAGGGTCCTGCTTTATGGTGTTTTCACCTTGCAGCGTTCCGCTAATATGGCGATTTCAAATTATGACCAATACTTGCTATACGGTGAGCGGTCTTTCTAATACGGTGTGCCCCACCCAGTTTGTTTACATTCTCTTTGAGCACATCTTTATTATGTCTGGAAATTTTCCAAAATTTTAAGTGTTTTAAAGTTATTGCAAATTTTATATGTACTCTGATAATTATACTTATGTATACCTGTACCTTTTTTAAATATACGTACACACTGTGCTGGCGTGCAGGTACACATTAATATCACTGAGAGTCTCTCTACTCGATGCCATGTAATCTCTTGGGCGCATTAAATGTTGTATATTACATTAATATCAACATTTCCATTAATCCATCTATGATATTTTTTCAAAATTATGTAATAAACATGCTGTGTAACATATAAACATGATACATCCACAATATAAAAATTGACATAAATATGAGATTTGTTTACCAAGCGGTTTGTAGGAGTGTCAGAAGAATTACGTTTTCTCTAGTCAAACGCCAGTTACTTAACTGTAGAAAAATACGTATTCCTTTCATATGCCGTCATTCTATAGCTATTTGTGACCCTTGTGGGTTAAGTACTTTTTTATTATGATTATAATAATAATGAAAATAAATATGGTAGTAGGTTGGTAGACAGCAACCACCCAGGGAGGTACTACCGTCCTACCAAGTGAGTGTAAAACGAAAGCCTGTAATTGTTTTACATGATAGTAGGATTGCTGATGTCTTTTGTCTGTCTCATAAATATGCAAGATTACAGGTATGTCTTACTACTACACTACATGTCACACTACACATACATGTACACATTTATTTATATACACTCATCTGAGTTTTCTTTGATTTTATCTTAATAGTTCTTGTTCTTATTACTTTTCCTTTTATATCCATGGGGAAGTGGAATAAGAATCTTTCCTCCGTAAGCCATGAGTGTTGTAAAAGTCAACTAAAATGCCGGGAACAATGGGCTAGTAACCCCTTAAACTGTTGTATTCTGAGCACCTCTGCAAAAACAGTGATAATGTGTGAGTGTGGTGAAAGTGTTGAATGATGATGAAAGTATTTTCTTTTTGGGGATTTTCTTTCTTTTTTGGGTCACCCTGCCTCGGTGGGAGACGGCTGACTTGTTGAAAAAAAAAAATAATAATATAATTCACTAAAAATGGTGTGTTGCATGAGAATGGGAGTATTGTTGTTTATTCTTTACTAACTTGTCAGAGCATTATTCCTTCTAAAAATAATGTTACATGTGAATGGAAGTGTTGGTCTTTATTGATTCTACTGTACCGCTGTGGAGACAACTTGTACACAGTGTAAGGTGTTTATATGAACGTGCATGAACGACAACCACACACTTTGTCCATTTGTTTACATAGTACTCTGCTTGGGTGGGGTGGCCAGGCGGGCTACCGTACCTCTCACACCTGACTTTCTACAAATAAATGCTTTTCACCTGTCGCCCTACTTTAAGACCATTAAGACTACAAATATTTTAAGGTAAGTAACGAGCGTACTGTATATGCATTTTATCACTAGGGCACTTTAAGCGTCATAGTATATAATGTGTGGGTCGTGTGGCCAGGAGGGCTACCATACCTACCCACACCTGATTATAAGTGGAAAAAATAGTGTTCTGCTTTCTGCTGATGTCTGCTTTGCAGCAGTAGCCTGGAACTTAACCTACCATATAAGTGGGGCCCTATTGTATATAATTGTTACAAAATTAGGTGCCATGTTTTACAGACTTGATGGAAAGTCCCAAGAAAACCAGTCATAAATTGACACTAAGTTGAAATTGATTAATGGGCAATATATATTCATTTAAATTCATGTCTTAAGATATAGTATTCATGTTTCCCAGCTATTTCTTAAAATTGTTATATGTACTGTATTTCATCATTCATAAACCTTTATTTCTGTAATAACTTCTTGTTTTAATATTAGAATGCTAAAAGCTGCACTCAGTATCAGCTGTGATATTTTGTGGTTGTATGACTATATAGAAGCAAGTTATATTTTTGTGATTATTTTCATATAATGTATTTTAGGTTTTGTTTATACTTTAACTTAAAGTAAAAATTATTTCATATGCTGGTGACCATCATAACATGCTGCTGCCATGACTTGCAACATAACATGCTGCCATGACTTGCAACATAACATGCTGCCATGACTTGCAACATAACATGCTGCCATGACTTGCAACATAACATGCTGCCATGACTTGCAACATAACATGCTGCCACCACTTGTGATGTGACATACTGCTACCACTTGCAGACATTCTTGCCACTGGAGGGTCTCTAGTATCTTTATAGCATTTTCAGTGGCATGTGATTTATAGGAACAGATCTGAAGAGGTTTAGCAATGTTTATGATTTGTGTGTAGCAATAGTTATATTTTTCTATTTTACACCAGCTGTCTTCCACCAAGATAGGGTGACCCAAAAACTGAAACACATTCATGGTGCCCCGTGGCCTGGTGGTTAAAGCTCATGCTTCACATGGCGATGGTTTAGGTTCGATTCCCAGCGAGGGCAGAAACATTGGGCATGTTTCTTTACACCAGTTGTCTATGTTCACCCATCAGTAAAATGGGTACCTGGAAGTTAGTCGACTGCTGTGGGTTGCATCCTGGGACAAAACTGACCTAATTTGCCCGAAATGCTCTGCATAACAAGTGGCTTTCTATATAGTAGTATGTCATTGATGTCAGCTAGGACTGTATACCTTGTACATGTACTTGTAGTAAATAAAGATATTATTATTATTATTATTATTCATTCAAAAGCAGTCTTGCCAGAAGTGCACAGATATCACAATTCAAATAACCCTATGTATATTCAATAAAAGTTCTGACCCTGTGTGCACCATGCAGTAGTTGGGAACACAGGGATGTTGACATGGAAGGGCAAATTATTATTATAATATGTGGAGCACTAAACCGCTGTTG